CACCGTCTTCTCCGCCCGCGACGATGACAAAGGCGGTGGCGAGCGCGAAGACCAACGGCGCGGGGGAGTTGAGGAAGTGCCGCAGCCGGAGAAGGGAAAGGATTGGTGCGGAGGTGGCCGGCGATGGTGACGACGATGAAGGCAGTGGCGAGCGCAAAGATCAACGGCATGATGGAGTTGAGGCAGGTCTACAGATCTGGTCATTCTGGGTTGGGTGGAGGGAGAGAAGCAGATCGAGGAGCTTCCGGGCGATTCCGGCGGAGGAGGTGGGGATGGTGTGGCGCTACAGCTGCTTCACTCTAATGGCGGAGCAGCGGCTGTGGAGGATGGGGGTGGTATTGTGTTTCTGTTTTTGACGCCAAGCACGCAGCAGTGTGATGTGACTATGGCTACTATGGATACGACCATTGCTCACATCATGAATCAACAAGAAGACATCAAGATCAAGTCCTCCATGTGCTGCAATCTGATTCGGCCACGTGTTACATTGCTGATTTCAAACGGCTGCCAAATCTACATACGTGCTCCGTTTTGGGCCCGTGAGTACTTGATGGAAAGCTCTCAAAGTCCTCCTTCCAACGGATCCAGCCTCATCTCGGAATTCTATCTCGTTTGGCCGCAATCATAGAAGCAAGGTGCTGCGTCACCTGTATTGGGCCAATGGGCTTGTAACTTTGTTTGGGACCCTGGCCCATGTGGGGCCCATGTGGGGTGCGCCCCAATCTGGTGGAGCACGACCCTTGGACCCTCTTGGTCGTCCTCCCACCTCTATAAATAGTTAGGTACCCCTTCAGGGTTTCTTGGGTTTTGATCGATTAAAGTTTAGCCATTGCTACTTGCTTGCAGCGCGCGTGTCGGCTAGACCGTCCGTCTGCTTGTTCTTTGGAACCCCAACTTATCATTCGTATTTAACTCCTATTTGCAATTTAGATTGCTTTTATCTTGTTTTTGCTTGTTTCTTCGATTTGCTTGCAGGAAGAAGGTTGATTTGCACCGGCAAGATCAACAACCCACGGAGAGGTGTATCGATCGCTAAGGCGCAACACAACGTCTCGTACGGTTGTAGTCGGATCGTCAACGTTTCTCCCAAATCGTAGTTATCACAACTCACCGAAAGATCGGGCCAACAACAGCCTTGAGTGTCGAGAGGAACTCAGGGTCCATCAGGTGGTATCAGAGCTTTCGTTGCTCGGTGAGTTTTATCTACCCATAACCAGAAAATTGCCATACAAAAAAAATTGTATCCTGTACCTAGCCATATTGTGCCATTGCATTGTTTTTATCAGTTTTTGCTTTGTTGAGTTTTGTGTTGCATTGTCGAGTCGTATTGCTGGTTTTAGCGTTTAGTTCGTTTAGAGTTTCGAGTTCTGGTCACGTTTCGTACCACTGTCATCGCCCCCGCCGTGTCTTTGTTGTCGTCGGGACCTAGGAAAACGGAATCATCTTGTTGTCGGGGTTTCGTTTTTCTAGTTTTCAGAAGTTTTTGTCGGTCGGTTTTGGAGTTGCTGAGTTGCATCAAGGGTTTGTCGTCTGTATTCGGCCGTGCTTGTTTCTCTTGCGCGAGGAAGAGGAGAGAAAGAAAAGATAACAGATCTGTTTTTGGAGGAAGTTTTGCAGACTAGATCAATCAGGTTGGTTAGTTTCCATCTAAGACCAAACTTTCCAAACTCTCCCCACGCGTGAAGACCGGTTGGCGCCATCTCCTTTTGTCGCCCACTTTAGCTGAGTCCGACTCCCTCCCTCTCACGTCGGTTTCGCCTGTTCCGAGTTGTGTCAAACACCTTGGTGAATTTTTGTTTGGTGTCGGTTTCGAGATCCGTTTCGAAAAACGGAATCAGTATAAATTCAGCATTCCATTTTTGTATAATTTTTAATTTTGGTTTGGACTTTTACAGTTGAGTCCTTGTAATTTTCATATTTACATTTGAGTCCCAGTAATCTTGCATTGAGGTCCTTGAGTTGTTTTTGCAGAAAAAAAATAAAATAAAAAAAAGAAAGTAAGGAAAAGGCAGGAAGGTGCATAAAAAGAAAAAAAAGAAAAGAAAAGCCGCACCAAAAAAAAGGAGAGAAAAAAAAAAGAAGAAGAAAGAAGGAAGAAGAAAGAAAGAAAAAAAAATCAGTTGTATCTTTGAGCTGAACATGATCTATCAGAGTGTGCCTAAGTTAAAAAAAATCAGTTGTATCTTTGAGCTGAACATGATCTATCAGAGTGTGCCTCAGTTGTTTCTAGTGCTATCCTGTGGTATCGCTTGTGTCTAGGCTCACGTCTCTAGTACGTTCTAGCCTAGGACCAGCACGGTACTTGACTTTGAACCATTATTCAACTTTGCATTCTCTGATTTGAGCATTTGCTATCCCTTTGCTACATATTTAAGCCTACCCAGAGCTCCACAGATCTGATTGCAGCCGTACAGCAAGTGTTTGCCAAGGCATCGATACATCCAACCTCTATTGGGGTGCTTGGTTAAGTCGGTGTACATCACCATTCCACTTGCTTTGGTAAGAACTTGTAAGAGCTTGGTTAAAAGCTTGAGTGTGTGTGATATTTGAGCTGCCACTACCTAGTAGTTGATAGGAGCATGCATATTTTTGTGTGTTTCTTGTTTGGTACTAACCATGGCAGGATTGCGTAATGGAATACGAGAACATCAACTTCTACACCTTCGACGAGATATGACGACTTCTCCAAATGATGCATATGAGGTACATGACTATAATTTTGAACAAGTTGCATCTAAGTTACCCTTCTATGATGGGAAGTATGATTCTGTTGCATACATTGATTGGGAGCTAGCAGTAGAAAATGAATTTGATATATATGATTTTTCTGATGCTCAAATGATTAAGGCTGCTAGTAATAAGTTTACCTCTTCTGCATTATTTTGGTGGACTTATGTTAGTAATAAACCTGAAACTTGGGATGAATTGAAAACCATGATGAGAAAACGCTTTGTGACATCTTATTACAAATGTACTCTTCGGGAGAAATTAGAACATCTGAAACAAGGTGACAGAACTGTTAGGGAGTACATTCATGAATTTAAGGTCTGTATCATCTACAGTGGTCTCAAAGAGTGCAATGAAAATACAACGCGTAGATTTTTCAATGGGCTTAATTCTGAAATTCAGGTTTTGCTTGATAATGTGACATATAATCATATTGGGCACCTATTCATGCTTGCTCGTAGCATTGAGAGTCAGATCATATCAAAGGCGAGGATGCATGACCAATGTGATTTATCTCCTATTTCTGAATCCCTAATATACTTATGTAATGATGATGTGCAAACATTGGAGGAGCAATCTTTTGTCTCCCCTGTTACTAACGTTTTGCAGAAAGATCAGCACATCCAAGAAAAGGAGAATGGTATACTTGAGAAGAAAGAGGATGAAGCACCTGCGATGTCTGAAGAAAGTTCGCAAGGTAAATTAAATGGTGCTGAGAGAAATGAAGGTGAGTATTCTCAAGGTGAGCTACACTTGTCCACTTTTCATGCTATAGTAGAGCAACCATTAGTGGAATCAATTGCTGAGTTGCCTTTGTCACAAGTTGATTTACTTGCTGTTCCTTGTGATAAAGAAGAGTTGTGTGATAATGTTTCACTTATATCCATGCCACAACTAGTGAATGAACATGTTAGTTCTACTATTTCTTTGTGTGCTGATTCTAAGCATGTTGTTCACATTACTAATGAAGTAGAGGAACGCGAATTGCTATCTTCTTTAAATACTTTGGGCTATGTTCAGTTTGATGATTTTTGTGAGCTCGATAATTTGAAGGAGAAATTATTTGCTAAATCTGATTTGCCATGTCCAACTAATGCTATTTTTCATATCTTTGGCGAATATAATGATAGAGGAATATTTTTGGTGCATAGAGTTTACATTTGTTCGGATTTAGAACATCTTGTAGTTCTGGATAAAATATGCAAGCTAGAGAGACATGTTACTGCTAATCATATTGTCTCGAGTTTGTCTTGTTTTGATTGCAAGAAACAGGTTGTTTTCAGTGGACTGCGCGAAGAGCACCATATAGAAAAACCGAGGACGGTTTTCCGTGAAGAAGGGGAGGATGATGTGACCATGGCTACTATGGATACGACCATTGCTCACATCATGAATCAACAAGAAGACATCAAGATCAAGTCCTCCATGTGCTGCAATCTGATTCGGCCACGTGTTACATTGCTGATTTCAAACGGCTGCCAAATCTACATACGTGCTCCGTTTTGGGCCCGTGAGTACTTGATGGAAAGCTCTCGAAGTCCTCCTTCCAACGGATCTAGCCTCATCTCGGAATTCTATCTCGTTTGGCCGCAATCACAGAAGCAAGGTGCTGCGTCACCTGTATTGGGCCAATGGGCTTGTAACTTTGTTTGGGACCCTGGCCCATGTGGGGCCCATGTGGGGTGCGCCCCAATCTAGTGGAGCACGACCCTTGGACCCTCTTGGTCGTCCTCCCACCTCTATAAATAGTTAGGTACCCCTTCAGGGTTTCTTGGGTCTTGATCGATTAAAGTTTAGCCATTGCTACTTGCTTGCAGCGCGCGTGTCGGCTAGACCGTTCGTCTGCTTGTTTTTTGGAACCCCAACTTATCATTCGTATTTAACTCCTATTTGCAATTTAGATTGCTTTTATCTTGTTCTTGCTTGTTTGATCGATTTGCTTGCAGGAATAAGGTTGATTTGCTCCGGCAAGATCAACAACCCACGGAGAGGTGTATCGATCGCTAAGGCGCAACACAACGTCTCGTACGGTTGTAGTCGGATCGTCAACGTTTCTCCCAAATCGTAGTTATCACAACTCACCGAAAGATCGGGCCAACAACGTCGTCAAGAGCTGCTTCAAACCGCACTTCTACTGGTGGGATCAGGTCGACATGGTGGGAAAATTTTTTTCTCCCCTCTTTTGATTTCAGTTACTTTTTTGAGCTTTTTTCCCTCTTTTATCGCTGTGGCTTCCACATTCATCTCGTGCCGGCGACGCCTTCATCCTATAATGCATCTTCTTCCAGGAGTTGCTAGGAATCATGGCAGTTTGCGCTCCAACAGTTTAGGGTTAGGTCTTCCTACTGCATAATGGAGAGAATTTCTTCATATAGCTTTTGTCGTGTGTGGATTTGTTCCAGTTTCGTCTCGTTTAGTGTTTTGGAGATTTTGGACCTGTGTGTGGATGGCTGGGACCATTTTCCCTGCAACGTTGATGTTTCGATTTCACGATTCGTTGAGAGTTTCAGTTTGCTCTGCTCTAATTGTGCGCTTTTCTTTTGGTTCATCAGCATGTTCTGCTCTCTGCTCATCCATGCCCCAGCAATATTATGTGGTTGAAGAAGCTTGGAGTCTATGATGTCGTGACACTGAGCGAATCTTATGAAAGGCTGGTTTGCCAGGTGCCTATATGAGGTAGTCAGACAGCCAAATAATTCCACTATTCGACCAATGCTTGTGCTGAATAATATGTGTTCTGTCAACCAAGTTTTGCAGCTTTTGTTTATTAATTCCTTCCTGCATGTTTGGCTCCTACATATCATTTGTTTATTGCTCTGATATCAAGGAGGTGCATCTGAGATCAATAAAGCCTACATTATCTTAAAATAAAAAACAAGGGGGTGCATGGCCTTGTCGTAAAACACATTGTGCATCTGACGTAATCAAGTTCCAATGGTCTCAGTTATGCAATAGTGCAATGTGAACAGAGCAATTACTGAAGGTGTCATTGTTTGGCATCCATAAGATCAGTGGTTTGAGAAAAATACTCAAAGTGCCATTATTTCGCTGATGGGTCAGCAAATTGTTTGTTAGGTAGATTGTTCTTACCTGATAGTGCAAGGTTAGTGCTATGTAAAGTAGTCGTGGTCAACCCAAATGACAGGTTATGGCAACCATTGTTTTAGCTCAGAAAAATGCTGGTTAGGTATTATAGTGTTCATGAAATGCCTTCTGCTTATTTTACATGTAACTGTATATTTGGTGCTCTATTTGCTTGTTGCCTAATTAGCTTGGCGTTATTTTTATGTAATTTACAACTGATGTGCTATTTTCATGCTATTTCCCTAACTTTGCATATCTCTGTTTGTTCCTACTGCTCATGAGAGAATGTTCAAATAGCTAGCAGTTTTGGGTCAGATAACTGATTTTTTTTTATTGATTTTAGGCTCATGGAATTGAAAACCTGGTGTTACCAACTAGGGGTTATCTTCATGCACCATCATTTGAGAACCTTTGCCAGACAGTTGTCTCATTCACGAATCTTCTCAAAATGTATATCCTATGGTACGACAGAATCACCATGTATGTTCCAATTTATTTTTGATTGAATTGTTCATTGCATGAGCAGAGTCCAAAATCTATGATTTGACACATTTTGTTTGTTTTTTTTAGTAAGAGAGGCTTTTATGTTTATTTGTCCCATCACCTATAGCAGCTATTTTGTGCAATATTTTGATTGGTTTTGTTTGTTTGAAACTCTTGAAGCTTCCCTGAATATGCTGCCATGTAGTGCATAAGAAAGATTTAAAGGCCTTTTGCTTACTGCCTTTTCTGATGTGCTTGCACTTCAACATTTGTCCTCTAGGAACATATCATGATATTGATTTCCATGGGGAGGTAGACAAAAAATGAAGCTCATTCATTTCGTAAGATCTATCTTATTGTGCCGTGTAATTTTTAACTAGGTTTATATCATGGATTTATTTCTGTTGTTTTAATCTCGGAAGGAAACACTTCGTATGGTAAGTTGACACATGTTCATTGCAAAGCTAGACATGGACGGACCACAACAACTGTTCTTTGCTACTTGGTATGCTTGGTTATTTGGTCATACTGATACGACTTTATGAATGCCATAGTTAAGTGTTAACCTGCAGTTTTGGTGGCAAGGAACTATCAGTGTTAACCTGAACTAATTGGTATTTGCATTTTTGTGCCAGGGGACTAATAGTTATTGTGCGCTGATATGACTATGCTCTATTCCTGGAACATTTCGCATTGCCATTGACAAAATGGTATGGCATCATTTTTTTTGCTTGCTTTGCATTTTGTGCCAGGGAACTAATAGTTATTGTGCACTTTTGAGATATTTGCAACTCCAGAAGTACATGTTGACTTCCATCCTAATGCTACTGCCCCCTTTTATTTGTCGCAACTGACTGGCCATGTTGGTTCGTCTCAAGCTTTCCATTTTAGTTGGATATGAAATGTTTAGTATCCCAATTCACCTTCTCTCTGTAATTCCCATGTCCTTGCAGCCTATAAATTTCACCATTGATCCTTTGCATGTGAATATTTGGCTTTGCCTGTTGAAAAACTCAATGGAGTGGATATGATCACACTTGGAGTTGGTATAAACTATTTCATGAGTAGTGTAAGAGCATTTTGATTGTAGTGTATGTTTTGCATTTCTGGTGGTCTATCCTGTACTCGTCTAGCTGGTAGGTCAACTTTATAAGTCAATTTCCTTTTATATCATTTGGATCTGGTTGATGAACATCTTGCAACACTGGTAACTAATGATCCACCACTGTTAGTTCTTCCCTTGCACAATATGAAAACCATGTCTATGCAGATAAGAATAACATTGTTCATAGTTAATACATCCAACAATTTAAATATATTCTGAGATGAGAATGGATTATTATGTGCTTTAGCACATCATATGGTCCAGCCTGCCGGAATGCCATATTGTCCTTTTCTAAAGATAGCATGATACTTAGAATTTTAAAGATGCTTTGCTTTCCTTCCTAAAATGTTTTAGCCTGCATTTCAGAATTATAACATCATTTATTTCTGTGTATTATCATTACTTTGGAGAAAGACCTACAAAAGTATCTTAGAATAGATAGTTTTCTACTTACAAAGCGTGTTATTTCTTAGTTCCTTGAATCTAGCAGCGTGCTATTCTGCTGCACTTTGCCAATCTTTGCATTAGCTGTAGAAATTTGTCTTATATCTCTGTTGGGACCTGAATTCTCTTTGTAGTATATTTGACAGGTAATAACAAATGGTGGAATGATTGCATTTTCACTGTGCTTAGGATGGATTCATCTTTAATGCTAATTACCTGCCAACCTCTTCGGCCCCAACAAGCTCGTGGAGAAGAAGGTAACCCACCCAATCCGCAGTTTCTCTCCCAAGATCCAGTAGAGAAAAGTTTCTTGTTCTGTTTAGGAATCGATTCAATGATGCAAAGTTTTTTTTTCATGTTTGTTTGTTTGTGTGTGTGTGTGTGCAGGAAAGCAAGTTCTTCAAGTTCTTGGGGTTCATGTGGAACCCGCTGTCCTAGGTCATGGAGGCTGTGACAATCATGGCCATCGCTCTCGCCAATGGAGGAGTAAGTAGTAATGAATTTAATGATGTTTCAGAGCATGGCATGTGAGGGATTGTGAGAGGTTTGATTGAATTGATGAGGGTTGATTTGTTTGGGGTTTTCAGGGGAAGCCGCCGAACTGGCAGGACTTCGTGGGCATCATCACACTACTCATCATCAACTCCACAATCAGTTTCATTGAGAACAATGTCGTCAATGCCGCCGCCGCTCTCATGGCCCGTGTCGCCCCAAGGGCCAAGGTAATCTATGCCAATCTTTGTCTTTTGTGCAGCTGTGACGATTGTGTGTTGTGATCTCAAGCAGTACTGGCTTTTGTTTGTGGTTGATCTAGCAGACACAGGATCGAGCTCTCCTCGAGTAACTTGCTGTTGTCAACGACAACGAGGGGACGAATCGACCGCAACAGAAACGCGAAGGGTCTCAGATCCTCCTTCACCTTGTCTTTGCCGCGGTGTTCATCCCTTTCACAAGAGAGAAAAAAAAATTACCAATTCAATCGGCGACAATGGGCGCTCAACCTTGGTGGCGATTCCTCGCCCTGCTGCTTCCGCTGCTCGTAGCAGTCGTGAGTCAGGTGGCTGGCGGCGTCCAAGCCCCACCCTCATGACTCTTCTCAGTGGCCATCTCGGTGAGTTACGGGAAGAAATCTCCTCTCATCCCCGAATCTTTACTGATGCAGCATGATTCCAATTTTGTGCGGATTCTATTATGTATATGAGGATAATGGAGTTGCACAGAATGACTGATCCTTTCTCGTGTTCACGTGATCAAAGGTTGCGTGTTTCTCTGCCTGTGGATAATTTTTTTGTTTCATGAATGTGTTTACATCACTATGCAATGATAATTAAGAGGTGGCAAGGCTATGCTCAGAGGAGTTGCTTGGTTGTTCTTTGTTGCAGTCTTTTCTGATGAGCTTCAATTTTGCATACAGTGAGGGTGGCCAGATTTCTGAACATGTCGCGCAGGAGAGATGGCAGCAGCAGCTGGAGCTATGTGATGGGGAACAAGGGAGGAGGCCAGCATCAGGTGGGGAGAGGAGGTTTGGGCCTTATTATTTTTAATGAGGTGCAACCATCTGTCCATCTCACTTGTTGGTACAATTACAAGTTTTTCTTGATTTTCTTCACTGCTTATGACGGCTGAGATAAAAACTCATCGATGCAACTTCATATTTCTGATGCAGGGGTAGGGTAGTTGTCTGGTTGTTCATGTTCTAATTTACCTCATTAGTGTTGTGCTAAATCGAAGGCGAGTTCCAGTAGTGCCATTGATCATGGTACATCCCTATATCTAATATCCCCTTCCTTCATCCCATCTAATTGACCCCACAAAATCTCTATAATCATTTTCTTCACCGTTACTATTGCAGGTCATTAGGAAAATGAATCAATGATGTACACAAAAGCTTACAGATATAGTAGCATTAGACAACATATTGTTCTTGCTCATATTGTTCCTGATGTTTCAGCGTTTCTCAGTTAAATCAATAGGAACTAAGGAAGACGTAAAAAGATGAATGCGGTACTATCTTTTATTCATTTTCATCACTTCAAGAATTAATACTTTCGATAATTTGCATTTCTAACACATCTCCTTTCAAAATGTTGGATATATGACTACCATATGCTTTCCTGGTTTCTTGACCACAAATGGATAATAGTAGGTCTTGTGTCAATTCTTCCTACTTTCTTAGGGAGGTCTCCAGATTTTAATTACTTCACTTAGAGCATATTAAGAGATGTAGTTCAATGCGTTCAATAAACTATTCTAGATTATCCAATCCTAACTGTCGGAGGGTTAACCCCTCGAGCGGGGGACTGTGAGGCCCCCCTTTGTTAGTTTGGCCGGGGGCAGCGGGTGAGAATTGAAGATTTGGATGGGAGTGTGCTAGAGAGGGAGTCGGGGCTTGCCACCGTCCCATCCGTCAATCGGCCAGGCACAGTCTGGTCAAACGCTCAGCACGCCGCATTGCGTGGTGCGTCCGTTGCAGTCACATTGAAAGCAGTTAGGTGGGCACTGAGGGGCGCCCACCTAACCCCATATGCGTGGTGGCCGCGTGGAGTGGTCGGGCTCCCCCTCCCCCCCTCCCCCCCCCCCCCCCCGTGGGGGGGTGTGCCACGTGGATACTGAGGGCAGCCTTTCTCCCTCTGATCTCGGTACCCTCGGGCCCATATCACCGACACTAACATTCTACTGTTTGGTATGTTTTTCTATTCGCTTGTTCAATACTCAATTCTGCATCCTTATACATTGCTTTCATTTATCTGGTGGCATTTATATATAGATCTCTGGTGATTCTTTTAAAAATTACCTATCCATTGTTTCATCTATGTTTTGTCATGTTTTGTCCTATGGATAACCGTGACAAATTCATGCTTGAAGCGATGAAAACATACATGTAATTAGGCATTAGAAAGTACAATATGTAATTAGCCCCAGTGGCACGCCTCCTGCATATAATTTGTTTTTATTCTTTGATGATTTCAATATGCTTGTGCTATTTCCTGGGCATCAGGTGTTACATATAACCAACGAATAATAATGGGGCAAGCAATACTACCCTCTGATAGTATGATCTAACATCATCTCCCTTCTTTAGGTCAATTTTTCCCTTCTTAAAGTTGACATGTTCAGGCATTTTATTTTGCATTAATGTTTTCCGAGTATTTTACATCAAAGTTGAAACACATCTCCCATCGCGTCATTGTAATCGTCGCGAGTGAGGCTGTTGAACTTTCTGTGCATTAGTTCTTTTGTGCCCAATTGGTATATATCATTCTTTGTATATCTATTCTTCGTTTGCTTAGCATCCTTGTGGAAAGGTTTTGTGGCTGCGTAACCAAGGGGGCGGAAATTTAATACTCAAGTACCTAAATCACAAGTGCCTTGGGTAGAAAATTGATGACAAAGTTTAGATGTATCTGTTTTTGTTTTGCCGTCTGAAATTTAGATGTTTGCTTTCCAAGCTGTGAATTCTATGCTTCGATTTGATCTTCCAGCACACCACATATTATTTTTCTTTCTTGGTGGTGTTCTCCGGTGCTTGTTGAACTGAGGCTGCAGTTTATAAATTCCATCTCTAGGATTTATTGTTGTTCTTACGACCGAATTGTTTTTTTTTAGCTAGGGTAAGGATGATTTGCTGGAGCGTTACAGGCAATCATCATTTATTGGACCTTGCTTCTTGAGGAGATGCACTGTGACAGTTTTGTGGGTGCCATGTTCATTTCTTAAATTATTTTGTTATTTAGTTTGCGGATTACACTTAGTTGGATATGTTGTGTTTCATTTAATTAGTTTAGGTTTCACGTCGTTGTTGTTTACATGGTTGCTCCCTCGATGGTTTCTTACGGTCTCATGGTTTATATATATATATATATATATATATGGCGCTGATGTGTTTTCTCCTGCGTAGATTAATGCTTGCTTTTCTTTTGTTGTACAGATGAAGGAAATAGCGCATTGTTAAGCATCTTCACATGAAAGGAATTAAGGTTTTTCCCCCTTCTAGAAGAGATAGGCATCTCTGTAAATAGATCTTTCCTTTTCCAATTCTGCTTCATGATGTATTATCTGTACACAAACTATGGAGCTGTGGCATATGATCTCACTATTGTAATCGTGCTCAAGCAACCGGTTACAAGAAACTTAAATAAAGTTGCGGCCCGGTACTCTCTAACAATTGCAAGTTACATTGTCACCATCAGTTTATTAGCTGGTTGAATGAAGTCGTTGCACCCGGCGTATGAAGTTGTATCTCCTAATTATCCACTTCTTTTTCACCATCTTTCCGCCCAGGCGGCGCGCCAACGGCGCGCCCCAGGTTCTAGTTAATATAAAGAGCTTCTTACAAAGTAGCCTAGCACGCGTCAATTTCTACTAGCAAAAGTAACAGAAACCTACGGAGCTTTAGTACCAGAGCTTCATAACACCAACAAACATTTTTATCTTGGTCTTAGCAAAAAATAGTTACACGCCCTATAAACTAGGACAGAGGAAGACTAGCTGATTCTTGGGAACTGTTTGAGAGCTTTGTAGCAACTGCAGCATCTCTCATAATCTACACCTCCCAAAACATGTTAGATTGGATAGGACATACTATAGTACAACGAATCTGGATAGAGGTATGTCCAGATTAATAGTACTAGAATATCATATCCAATACACTATGTTAGTTTTTATGCGACGGAGGAAGTATAGATTCTAGATTCTAAAAATCTATATTTGTAGAATATAAAAAATAAATTAGAAGCCATTTGCTAAAAAAACAGTTTCTCCATATTCTTATGACTTTATGAACTGTGTACCAGCTACTAGCAAATTCTCATAATCTTAAAACACCTTAAGACTCTCAAGCTGCTCAAAGTAAAGCCTAAGGTACCCAAACTTTGTACTCCCTCCGGGTTGATAATACTTGTCGTTTTAGATAAGGGCACGGTCTCCAAAAAACAACTTTGACCATTATTTTTCATTATAATATGTATAAAATTGTTAACAAATATATGATCATATTAAAGTACTTTTTAAGACTAATATATACATGTAGTCACCATATTTGAAAGACAAATATTTTTTTAAAAAAAAATGAATCATAATCAAAGATTGTAAAGTTTGACTTCACCCTTATCCAAAACGACAAGTATTATCAGCCCGGAGAGAGTAGTGCTCTTGATAGGTGAACCGAGCATATACCTGCTTTAGCCATTTGATGCGAATTCCTCCCCGGGCCGAACAACAAAGGTAGCCCACGTATTTTCCCGACGAAAAAGTACACCGAAGGTCCCTCAACTTGTCACCGAGTTACAAAATTGTCCTCCAACCACAAAACCAGATATCTGGCGTCCTCTAACTTACAAAACCGAAACTAGATCCCTCGGCCGTTTTGACTCCGGTTTTATCCGATATGGCAGCTAACTCAGTGTGGGACCCACATGGACCCCATGCATCAGCCTCTTCTTCCCCTCCCCTCTCCACCTCTCTCCTCTCTTCTTCACGGGCGCCGGTTGGGGAGTAGCTGCACGGGCGCAAGTGGCAGGGGAAGGAGCCGCGCGCGGGCGGGCGGGCCACCTCTCTGAGCTGCACGGGAGGCAACCAGCAGGCGGCGCATGCCTGTTCTTCCTTCTCCTCCTCTTCTAGCCATGCGCGGGCAGTGGAGCGGCGCGTGGGCGGGCGCACGCGGTGGGAGAGCAGCTGCACGGGTGACAACACCGATTGCGGAGGCGGTGGCAGCAGCTGCCTCGCGGCCATAATCCTTGCGGCGGTAGCCATGTCTCCGATGAGGACGCTCTCCTCCAGCGCGAGCTCGACGCCGATGGTGGGGAAGGAGAAGACATCGACGAAGTGGTGCTCGCAATCAGCCCAAGAGAAGGTCGTCGTCGTAGTCGTCGTTCGCGTGCTAAGGTATATGGCAAGAGGTTCCCGCGCGCCACTCGCCTACGCGCGGCTCCTCCCCCTGCGGTCTGCGCCCGCTAGTTGCTCCCCCGCCGACGCCCGAGAAGAAGAGAGGAGAGAGGAAGAGAGGTGGAGAGGGGAGGGGATGAAGAGGCTGACACATGGGTCCCATGCTGAGTTAGCTGCCACATCGGATAAAACCGAAGTCAAAACCGCTGAGGGACCTAGTTTGCACTGATTTTGTAAATTAAGGGACGCTGGATATGTGATTTTGTGGTTACAGGACGATTTTGTAACTCAATGACAAGTTAAGGGACTTTGGGTGTACTTTTTCCTTTTCCCGACTTAACAATTACTCAAGAAGTGCATCGGCCCCCGCACTATCCACAAGGGCAACAGCCCAAAACAATGTAAAGCCAATGGTAACGGTAACTCACGAACTAGCCTAGCCGGTAGCCGCACATCATTTAACCAACAAACGACAATCCAAAAAGCATTGCCGCCAACACAAAGGAATAGTAGCGAAAATACGTCCAGTTTCACATCAAAAGGATTGACCGTGCAAACCTTTCTATTTTCCAGCAAGTACAAGCACAAATTGAAATTACAGACCTGATAAAACAGATTGGGGCACTGACGAGCCTCTAGGTACATAAACTAAATATCGCTGAGGCGACTATCCAGGAAATCATCTTTAATGTTAATGATAGCTCCGGAGGGGAACAAGCATGCAGTTCAACAATATGTTGCCTCATTTGTAGAAGTCAAAGTCAGTCTCAGGCTTCTTGACATTGGTTCGGTAACCCTTCTCGAAGTCCTTGGGGAGGATAACATACCGATTTTTGCGCACAGCATGCATACCAGCTTCTTGACAGATAGCAGCAATCTGAAAAACAGAACATCACAATGAATTTCAGAACAGCACAAGGGAAAGCGAATATAAATGCTTACAGTATTTATTGAGCAAAAGCTGAGCAGAGAGTAAATGTGCATGTGTAGCTGCCAGCAACATTTATGCCAAAGCACAGAATTACAAATGAAAAGAAAAGTTTGATGATGAACAAGGCTTTAAGGAACCTCTAGGGTTACAAAAATTATTAGAACATATAAAGGTAATCTATTAGAGGTGGTACTTTCACATAATGAAAATAAAAAAAAAGGTGTGGTAAACTACAGTCATGTAATGAATAAAATAGAACCCTAAGATTTGGAAGGTTCTCGAGGGGAAACATATATCTTAGATTTTGATGTTATTAACTTAAAATTGGAAGTTACAGCAAGATAAAAATAAAGCACAGTAACAAGCTGAAACTCTGATGCCATAACTGTTGATAACGAAATTACATTAGCAGGGAGTATGCAATATTTATGTCAAAATATCCTCTAGTTTTATACAGTGATATTTCAATTTTACTGTTATGGATTAGGAGCAGGGAGCACGGCATTAAAATTTTAACCAGCACAGATGTGCCACAAGTTACAATGGCATCAAAAGTATCTTCTGCACTACAGTCCTCAGACATGGGCTATGCATTAGTCAAAAAATGGCCATGTTAAGCAACAGATCAACCGGCAATCCTCTAGTTATGCTCTAGTGGTACAAATGCAGATTGATATATTATTATGTTATGATAGATGTAATATGAAGATCAAAATGGAATGATACTCACATCAGCAGCACTAATTTTATCTGGTCTGGAAACATAATCTTCCAAATCAACCTCATCACTCAAGTTCATTTTAGCAGTACAGACCTGGAAATAGAGAGATCAATTACCAAATAAGAATATAATCTCAGAAAGGATCTAGCAACCAATAATTTCATCAGTTATAAAAATCATAAACAGATGAATTACAAACAAGAATATAAATAATAAATAACAAATGTTCAGAAGGATATAATGTAAACTTATTATGCAAATTACAGGCAAACCAAGTCATATACTCCCTCCATCTTCTTTTGATAGTCATATTTCATCTTGGCACACAGACCAAGGATAAGTAATTCTACTTATCATCCATTTAAACATGCTACTTGTTATTCCTCATAAACAAGCAAATCATTAATATTTGCATTTCTCGATGCCCATGTAGCCAATCTTGTGTGAAAGAATGGAGAGTCACGCATTAAATCCGAGAAAGTCATTAAGAGGATAGATTGTTGGATTGAAATATGCCTATCAAAAATAAATTTTTCAGATTTGGAAATATGACTATCAAAGAAAGAATGGAGAGTCACGCATTAAATCCGAGAAAGTCATTAAGAGGATAGGTTGTTGGATTGAAATATGCCTATCAAAAATAAATTTTTCAGATTTGGAAATATGACTATCAAAAGCAGATGGAGGGAGCAAGATATTGAGCCTACAATAATTGTGCACTCTTGTGGAAAAATGAGCATCAACAGATGCAGTACAGACCAACTCACTACTTTATTGTTAGTATTATCAGATGCTACTGTTGATTTATCCCCAACAAATGCAACACAAATAATTGGCTGTGCAACAGAAAGATTCTGCCCCTCCGATCAAACTATGTTAAACAAGCATAACTAAAAAAAAGTCACGAACCAATATAGACTCCTAACAGTGGCTACATGTAAAGAACAAGAAAGAAACAATACCCATCAACAATATAGAAACTTAACCTTCAATATAAAGCTCTACCAAACAATACCCATCAGTCAGTAATATCCTGCGAAGGACACACATTTTGGGGAAAAAAAAACAAAACTTACTTGGAAAACAAGCCTCTTCTGCCGACGATCTGGAAGAGGGAACTCGATTTTCCTGTCCAATCTACCTGGACGTAACAGAGCAGGGTCTAGGGTATCCGCCCTGTTGGTCGCCATTATAACCTTCACATTCACTGTTTGATCAAATCCATCCATCTGCATTCGACATTTTAAAAAAACACATGGTGAGAAATACTTCAACCTTCAAGCATAGGAATTTCATAAAATATTCTCGACAATATCTGTGTAAATCCCTTGTTTGACTATGTATTTCAAGTCACTTGAGCTTCAACTACTTAAATGTATGGGTATGGCTGAGCTATTCAAATTTAACAAGCAACAAATATTCAGTTTCTCCACAAGTATCTTACAGATATCCTACAACAATAAACCTTACCTGATTGAGTAGTTCCATAAGAATACGCTGAACTTCTCGGTCAGCACCAGTCTGAGCATCAAAACGAGCAGTTGCTATAGCATCAACCTCATCGATGAATATGATAGCTGGGGCATTCTCTTTAGCCAAACGGAATACATCTCGAACCATCCTAGGT